GGATCCCAGCTCTGCCTGTCTCCGCGGGGAACTGGATCCATGAAGGGCCGGCCAGGTGCGCGTTCCAGGCCTGCGCTGTGGCTGACCGTCGGGCACCCGAATGTCCCCCTCAGGCGCTGGGTTCAGCCGTGACGAGTGACCTCCGCTGATTCACTTCAGGTGCAAGTTCAGGTCCACCGTCCCCCCGGGCCCACCACCAGGGCGGGAACCCGCGGGAACAGCTGGCTCGGTCTGCAGGGGGCTTGCTTGGTGCTCAGTGAACAGGCGCCAAAGGGGTGGGGGGCGGGGGGGTGCAGGTCAGCTCTGTGGGAAAATCCAACCCCTGCGCTGTGACTTCTGCGTGGACTCTCGCCCGCGTCCGAGACCCAGGGAGGCTCTTTGTCCCCTGGAGCGGCGCCCGCATCGCTCAGGTCACACTTCACCCACCCACCTGGAGGAGTCTGTTCGCAGAAGTTCCGCCCAGCCCGCTGTGCGCCTGGGAGTCGACGTTCTGGCGGCACTGACCTGCCCACGTGGAGAGGAAAGCAAGGTGGTCCGTCCCACTCCTGCGTTTCCCATCGTGTTCATCTCATTTTAATTGTGGCTGCACAGGAGCGTCAGAGGGTCCTCTCTTCCCCGACTCCTCCTCCAGAGCATGGGACTCCCTGGGGACTGAAACGCCAGGCAGAGCCCATCCACCTTCCTACCTCAAGGGCCCCCTGGGGCTGAGGAGCGGCCTGCCAGCCAGTTCCCCGGAGAGGCGGCTGCTGCCCATTCGGGCTTCTTCCTTGTCGGAGAGCCGTTACCCAGAGACGTGCTGTGTGGCCTGGAGGCGACCCCTGCCCATTCCGAGCGTCCGGTTCCCGTGGGTGAGAGACCCTTCCAGGGTGGCTCTGCCTCCTGCTTTCCGCCTGCACCGCGCTCCAGCCTGCGCCAGCCTGCGCCGGGCAGCAGGGGGCAGCAGGGACCGGGACATGCTGGCCGTGGCCTCACCACAGCCCGAAGCTTCCCGTTAGGGAGCTGCCCTTTGTCTGAACATCGTCTGGCTCAGCGCCCAGAAGCCACCAGCCCCCAAGCGAGAAGCTCCCCCCCACTGGGCCCGGGTGCGTGAGGAGGGGGGACTCGCCCGGACTTCTGCGTGGCCTTACAGCCGCTGCACACTGGGCTGCTGAGGCCGTGGGCCCAGGTTGGGGATGCGCACCCCTGTCAGCCCGACCCCATGGGGACCAGCCAGCAGGCCTGAGGAGCGCTTCCCCCGGGGCTGGGGCCCGGAGGCCCAGGCCATGGGTGTGGGCGGGGCAGGAGTGTTTGGGGTGGTCCCCCCAGGTGCAGCTGGGAAAGGGGGTTCCTATAAATGTGTGGCCCAGGGCCCCCAGCATCTCCTCAGAGACAGGCTGTGCCTCTGCTGCCGCCTCCCCAGTCCTGGTTGGGGTGCAGAGGCCCGGTATCTGCGTGCCAGACAGGACCTGGGCCTGGGAGCCCGGTGCCCGGAGATGCATAGCCGGGACGGCCTCCTGGAGGCCCAGGAGGGACGGAGGCGTTCTCGGGCCTCACACCTCGGAGGCTGGCAGGCCGGGCAGCACCAGGACCGAGCAGGCTGCCTGGAGGGGGCTGTGGGCGGACGCAGCTGGAAGGGGAGGGCTGCCCGGGCAGGCCCGGGGCCTCAGGCAGGACCAACCGCAGCAGCTGGGGACGGGGGCGGGGTTTTCAGATGCAGCTTTCTGGGCCCCTCCTGACTCAGTGGAGCTGGGAGTCTACATTTGAACGAGTCCCCGGAGAATCTAGTTCACACGAAGCAAGACAAGCAGAACTTGGAAGCCTGTTTCTATCCAGTCAACAGACATCGGCAGAGCACCCCTCCCTCCCCGCACGTCAGACTCCTGTCCTTCCCCAGGCACCTTCCCGCCCTCCTCTCCAAAGCCCCCCTCCTCGGGCCTCTCCCCAAACCGCTGCCCCTCAGGCCCTCTCCACCCAGCCCCTCGGTGCCCTTCCAGGCCTCCACCCAGGCGCAGGCAGCTCACGTGCGTGTATTTACTCGCGGCCGTGTCCCTCACGCCTCCACCCTGTGTCACTGGCACACAAGAGGCCAGTGTGTTTGTCGGATGAAGGGTGAGGCCACGTCTCATAAGGGACAGTGGGGCGGGCGTGTTGGAGAAAAGACATTTGAAATGAGGGACGGCGTAGGTGGCGGAAGCCCCTAAGCCAGGAGGCCCAGCGTGGCCACTGCCAGCCCCTCAAGGGACGCTCACCCGTGGGCGGCAGAGGGGGGCGACCCGGAGAGCTCACAGCGGCGTCCCTGGATGGGGGCGCAGGGCCCAGCTTCCGGGGCTGGGTCTGTGCAGGTATGAGGCCCGCCCAGCTCGGCTGTGCCCGCCCAAGGCCCCGCGGTTCCAGGAACCCTTCCCAGAACCTGCTTGCAGGGACTTGCCCCCTGGCGCGCCAGGAGCTGTGTGCTGGCTGCCTTGTTAGGAGATGAAGCTTTCTTTTAAAAAGATGGGAAAGGCCCGGCAAAGGCTGGCCTGGAGCTGACCCCGAGGCGGCGGCCGTGGTAACTGATGGGCACCGTTTGTCTGATTAATCTTCTTGTCAACAGAGTTGTTCCCCGCCGGTGCCAGCTGACATCACCCCCCAAACCTGCCAGGCTGGCTCCGACCCAACCACACAGCACCTCTGACCCGGCCCTGAGCTCGAGCCACCCCGAACGCGGCCGGTGGTGCTGCAGCCGGTGGAACCGGTGGTGGGAACAGGTGCCACCCCTGCTGGCCTAGGAGTGACCCCGGGTCCAGCGGGATGGATGGCGGGCGGAGGCCTGGACGGACCCAATGCTGAGCTATAGCAGCAGGTTCGGCTCCGGGAGGTCGACTCCCCGGGCCGATGCGGTTGTCAGGCGGGGCTGCCCCAAGCGGCAACAGTGCAAACTCAAGGGCCAGGACCCAGGCCGGTAAGAAATGAGTCCGACTGGGTTTAGGATTGGGGTGGGGCCCGGATTGGGGTCCTTAGCAGGCGAGTCGAGTGTACAGACTGGGTGGGTTTACGGCTGAACTGGGCCCCCTGGTGGCCATTGCCTCCCTCTGCACCAGGCTCCTGCACACAGCGCTGACCCCACACTGTCCCCATAGCACAGGCTGTCCTTCCGGTTTGCCGTCAGAGCGTCCATGCACCTGCTTCTGTATCATTTGTTCCGCTCACGCCGGCTTCCTAACCCAGGGGCCTGCGGACAAGAGCTGGGGGTCCCGCGATGGGGATGGGGGCATGGCCCTCCTTGTTCGCACTGACCTCTGACGGATGGAGCGTTTTCAGTGATGGTCACACATCGCACCTGCAGGAGTGCAGCTCTCTCCCGATCGCCGGGCGGTTGGCGCAAATACTCCACACACTGACCATCTCCTCCGTCTGAAAGGCCTGCGGTGAGTACGCGGGTCTGTGAACCGGTGACCTCATAAAGGACCTGTGACCTCATAAAGGACCTGTGACCTCATAGAGGACCCATGACCTCATAGAGGACCTGTGACCTCATAGGTTAGAGGACGTGGGTACCGAGCATTTTAGAGTCTGATGGCTGTTTCAGTGCAGCGGTGGCCTGTCGTCCTGAGCACCTCACTGTCCCTGTTGTCACACATCCGGGGCCCAGTGCCTCTGCGGGCGCCCTTGGTGCTGCCCAGCCACCTGGACCATCAGCTCCCCCTCAGGTCCTGGAGCACAGTAGGTGCTCATGACGTTTTTGCCATAAAATGGGGCCACGGGGCCTGGCCCTTCTGTCAACCTCCAGTCGCTCCGTGGGGTTCCTGAGACGTCGCTGTTGTCCGTCAGCTGTAACCACAATTTTCAAACGATGTTGCAGGAGGAACGGCCTCGCCGGGTTCAGGGACCCGCATGTCCCCGGTGGAGGTCCGGGCCCTTTGCCGGATGCATGTGCCTCTTCCTCCGGGACAAACCCGGCCCCGCCGGGAGAGGGGGCCTTGCTCCCTCTGTGAGTTCGGGGCGACCCCGCCAGGCAGGGCCCCCCCCCATTCCTTTTCCTGCTGCAGCTACAGGGCCGCCCACGCCCCGGCTGCCGCCCAGGATGTTCCCAAAGGGACCCCAGTCCCTGCTCCCTCCAACGTGGAGGTCGGAGCGCGCGACCCGGCCACGCGGTGGCGCTGCGCCCCTGGCTGTGGAGCCTCCGCCTCTCGCCCAGCGCCCCGCGAGGTTCACCAGCCGGGCGTCAGTCACCCCCGGTCACCCATCCACTCCTCCCAGATCCGGGGGGGTGGGAACGGGGCGCACACCCCTCGTTCTCAGAGGCGGCCAGCGCCTGTCCTGGGCCCAGATGGACCCGAATGCCTTTCCGCCCGTTTTCCTCCTGCAGAAGCGGATGGGAGCGCGGGCGGGTGGAGGAGGAGGAGCTGACGCTGGGACGGCTGTCAGTGCCCCGGCCCGAGCCCTGCGCGCCCCGGGCGCATCCGCCCAAAGGTCCCGGGACTGAAGGAGCCGCGCAGCGGGCACCGTGGCTGGCGCATCCGAAGAGCCAAGGCCGTTGGGTCCTGACGGGCAGAGACCAGGGCGCCTGCACGCCCAGGCGGGGAATGGGGCCCTCGTGCGCCGAGAACTGTTAGAAGACAACGCGCCAGGGCGGTGAGCATTCGTTCCAAACCCTCGATTCGGAGAGGCCCGCTCTTGGCGAGGACGTGGCCTGGGAGAGCCAGGGGCTGTGCTGGGACCCAGGGGTTCGGGAAAGGGCGAGGCCGGCCCTGGCTGTGCTGGGTCGTCCTGGGGCCCCCTCCCACCCCCTGGCCGTGTCCCTGGTTCTGCCCCTCCCGCCTGACCCTGTGTGTGCGGCCACTCGGGTGTGCAGGCTGGAGCTGGCCCCTCTGAGCCAGCCAGGCCGGGGGGACCGTCAGGAGGGTAAATGCCTGGGGTTCCCAGCCCAGGAGTCTCACCCGGTGACTCGGTGACTCGGGGACAACGGACGGCCGGCGAGGGCGCCTGGAGGAGCCCGTGTTACTGTGTGACGCTTATCAGAGTAACGAGCTGCTTATGACGTGTTAAGTGCAGGCATCTGGGCTGGGTTTTATTTGTAGACTTCAAACTGGGCGCTTGGCAGGTTGAAAATGCCAATTAATGGTGCAAAATCAGAATTTCCTTTCTTTAAAAATCGGAGTTTCTAATGGGGACGAAGGATTTTGCAATAGCTTTTCAAATTATCCCAGAATGTATCCAAAGCACACAGGTATTCACACACAATCAACCGCAACCACAAAGACAATATACGTACACTTTTTTTTATTAAAGAAGCAGTAATTCACGGCTCTGTTCTGCATGGTGGCATGATCTGTGCTTTTGCTGGAGGGAAGAATGAGTTTAAAACAGGCATCACCAACACAAATCTCCCACAAGTTGCTCTAGGAAATCTGTCATTTCTACCCATGTCTTGCAGGCCCAAGAACAGACGTCTCCAGGAGTATTTACTGCGCTTTCATGAGGAGAATTTCCAGGCTGCCCCTTGAAGCAATGACGTTGGACTTGGAGCAAATGGAAACATTGTGAAATTGCTTATTTTCTTCCAAAATGTGTGTTTTCTTCCTTGCTTCCTGTTCGGGCAGGCCCACTCGTTAGCAACCATGTTTCTGCGTTATGCTCAGCAGACGTTTTGCTCCAAATTAAACTTTTATGTTTCCAGGAAAAGTGTAACAAGTGTTTAAATCAGTCAGAACTTAAACTAATGAGAGGATGGGGCGGGGGAAGGGGAGAAGCCCCAACCTCGTCTTCTGTGCAACTATTGCTTTTTATCTGCTTCACGCTTTGGGGAGCTTTCATCCCTGCGTCTTAGAAGGACTTCTCACGAAGCAAGACACCCCGGGAAGCGAGAGGCTGAACTAAGAGCTGCTGCAAAGTCCTGGCCAACGCCGACCTCGGGGACGACACGGGGAGGGGGGGGGGAGGGTGTTAGTTTCTGAGGGTGGATGGCTGCCCGCAGCCAGCTGCCCTGAGGGAGCCGGAAGGGTGTCCCGTCTGGAAGCCGCACTTTGCAGATGGGGTCACAGCAGCACACCCGCGAGAACCGAGGGATAAAGTGACAGGTGGAGCTCACACCCTTTGCTGCATGTTCATAGGAGCAGCTACTTGTCGCACGTCCAGTGTCCCTCTGCCAGGGAGCAGTGAAGACGGTCGTAGCTAAATGCAAGCCATTGCTTCCAGCCAAGCGAAAAGGCACCTTTACTAAGAGGGTGACCGACCACGGATTAACCTTCCGTCAGTGTGGCCCAGCAAGGCCCTCGCTCTGTCTCCATCGCCCTCGTTTGCTCCTCTGAGCATTATTTCCCCTGGCAGCGGGGCTCAGTGGTTGAGCGTCAGCCTAGGAGCCAGGAGGTCCCAGTTCGATTCCTGGTCGGGGCACGTGCCCCGGCTGCGGGCTCGATTCCCAGTGTGGGCGTGCAGGAGGCAGCCGATCCATGATTCTCTCTCACTGATGTTTCTCTCTCTCTCCCTCTTCCTTCCTCTCTGAAATCAATAAAAAAATATATTAAAAAGAGCACAAAAAGCTAAAGAGCATTTTCCCAGGGAACAGCTGTAAACCTGACTCTGAATGTGAGAGACGGGCGGCTGCTCAGCTCACCAGGAGCTATGCTCAGACGAGCCGTGCATAGCATGGGTGCTCCTTCTGAGGAAATCCTGGCGGTTGATCCAGCCCAGAACACCTGGGAAAGAAGTATATTCAAAGCATCATATCGATGAGGGGGAAAAAGAAGAAATGTCAGTCACCAAATGAAACCATCAACAGGTGACAGCTCTACCCACGCCTCCACCACAGGCCCTAGTGGAGTTAATACTCGTCCCTGGTGAAGGCCGTGAAGAAAATGAGATTAGTCAGTAAATGATGTTAGGACCAACCATGTGGAAAAAATTAAAGGTAATCCCCAGCTCTCCCCATAGACCAAATAAGTTCCACATGCAGTTAACAGTTATGCAAAAATAACAAAAGCAAGAGGGCTTTGTAGCTATAAATGCTTAAAGATAGGCTAATAAATAAACGATTATTGGGGCTGACCACAGAAACGCGAAAACTGCCTATCAGCACATCGGAAGGTGTTGGTGGAAAATATCACAGAGTTAAACCTTACTTTTGTGTGAAAGGCTAATGCAGAACAGTGAGAAAATAATTAACAATAGTCACGGGCAAAGAAGATAAGTAGATGAAGTACAAATATTCAATAAACATGAAATCATATTCAAATGTACGAATTAAAAAATGTAACTCGAACCAAAATGTACCTGTAAGACAGTTAATGGAGTGCCTCAGGGCAGCGTGGCTTTCGGGGTTTTCCTGGTTCTGCGAGGGCTCCCCAGTCAGACTGCGGAGGCGGACTGCAGAGGCTTCCCGCGTCCGGAGTTCCTGCCACATTCGGGAGCTAGCCTGTGTGTCCAGGACTGAGAGCTGTTAGCATCCACCAGACAGACTATTACTCAGCCATTATTATTATTATTAAGATTTAAGGCCATGGGGAAGTGACCAGGATGTTATGCGAAGTGGAAGATTGGATATGAAACCTGTGCATAGCGTGTATGCCCTAAAGTTTTCTTAGGAATACTGGGCGTGGCGTCTCTATTTTCCCCTTTTAAGGATTTTCCCCGTAAGAAAACAGATCAGTTTAGGACAGAAAACACCTTGTTGAAAGTAACTTGAGCATCTCCGTCTGACTCCTGGATGCAGACCCATTGGAGGCCAGTGGGCAGACTTCCTGGGAGCTGGTGGGGGGCCGTTCTCCCTGGAACCCCCACAATCTCAGGAAGAGGCCCCCACGCCTTGTCCGTGTTTGCTCTGCACTCAGACCCCCAGGGCAGGTTTGCCCGCTAGTCAGGGAGGCAGGGTCTCAAGGACGGTTTCGCTCGCCCACAGCCCTCTGCACCCCGACCCCGTGGCAGGGGAGGGCCGGCGCCAGGACCGTTTTCATGGCGTGAGGTGACGCGCTCCCATCCGCTCCTTCGGCGGACATTCCCGGGCCTGGCTGCCCTCCCCCGCTCAGCACACCTCGACCTGAGGTGACACAGGAGGTGCTGAGAGCCAACCCCGCAAACAAGGCGGCTCACTCCCTGGACACAGAAGTTCCAGAAAAACATGTGACAATGGTTATGGTTAGGGTTAGAGTTAGTAGTTAGGGTTAGGGTTAGAGTTAAGATGGAGTCACCTGTCACTCAGACCTTATCCTGGGCTAGGGCTAGGGTTAGGGTTAGGGTTAGGGTTAGGGTTAGGGCTAGGGTTAGGGCTAGGGCTAGGGTTAGGGTTAGGGTTAGGGTTAGGGTTAAGGGTTAGGGTTAGTGTTAGGTTAGGGCTAGGGGTAGGGCTAGGGTTAGGGTTAGGGATGTGGAGGGTTAGGGTTAGGGATATGGACAGGGTTAGGGTTAGGGATGTGGACAGCGTTAGGGTTAGTAGTTAGGTTTAGGGTTAGGGTTAGAGTTAGGGGTTAGGTTTAGGGTTAGGGTTAGGGTTAGGTTTAGAGTTAATAGGGTTTGGATTAGTGTTCTGTGTTATGGTTAGGGTTAGGGTTACGGTTAGCAGTTCGGTGTAGTGTTCGGTTTAGGCATTACGGTTAGGTTTTGAGGTTAGGGTTAAGTTTTGGTCTAGGGTATGGTTATTATTAGGGCTAGGGCCAAGTTTAGATTTGGGGTGTAGGGTAGGGCTTGGTTTAGGCCTAGGCCTCAGTGTAGGTTCAATGTCAGGATCAGGGTCAGGGTGTGACCTGAATTCCTCTCCAAAAGTCGATGCCGCAGCCTTCTCAGCCGCCTCTCAGAACTGGATGTGCGACCTTCTGAGGGGGCTGCTTGGACGGGTTTCTCAGGGTTGAATATCACAAGAGTCATCTTTTATCACAAGTCTGTGTTTTTAAATAGATACATACACTTTGCTGATTTCACAGAGGAAGGGAGAGAGAGAAACAATGATGAAAGAGAATCATGGATCGGCTGCCTCCTGCATGCCCCACACTGGGGACTGGGCCCTTACTTGGGCATGTGCCCTGACAGGGAATCGAACCCTGGCCTCCTGTTTCCTAGGTCAACACTCACCCACCGATCCACACTGGCCAGGCACTCGCCTTTCATCTGCAGCCATCACAGTGCACCAGGCGCAAGAGCAGGACGGAGTGCATGCCTGTGTGACTGATCAGGATCAAGAGCACGCCGTCCCTCGTTGCACAAAGGCGCAGGTTGGCCTTGGAGCTGCCCAGCCACAAGGGGGCTTGACCCTTGTGTCCAAAACCTCCTCACTGAATTCCGATGTGTTTGGACAGGAGGAGCTGGGATAGACAAAACTATGTTCTTGTCGTGTGAGGGCTCCTCTGTCCAGAGCCCATCGTCTGTGCATCTCGCCTCACATCCGTCTTGGTGGGACCCCAGGGGACAGACCAGCTGTGGGAACAAGGGGTTGCTCCCCAAGTGGCTTCCACTCCAGGGCCCCCGGTGGCACCGGTGCCTCGGCCCGACCCTCACAGCAGCCAGCAGGCCTGCCCGTCGCAGCTCTGGAACCCTGGGCAGGGGGTCTGGCATGGGGCCCGGACCCCTTGTTTCTCTCGTGGGAACCCCACAGAGAGGCAATCTCCCTCCTGATGGAGAAAATGCCACATGTGGGTGTTGGACCAGCCTGTCTGCACCCCGCCCCCCGCCAGTCTCCACGCGCCGTCTTCTTTCCTTCCCTAGCCGTAGGGCTTCCAGCCAGCCAGCTTTCAGGCAGTTCTGAATGATCCTTATCCTGCGTTTATTTTATTTTATTTATTTATTTAGAAATAGCTTTTTTGAAAAAATATATATTGTTATTGATTTCAGAAAGGAAGGGAGAGGGCGAGAGAGGATCATGGATCGGCTGCCTCCTGCAGGCCCCCCGCCGGGGATGGAGCCCCCAGCCCAGGCCTGTGCCCTTGATCGGAATAGAACCCGGGATTCTTCAGTCCACAGGCCGATGCTCTATCCACTGGGAAACACCAGCCAGGGCAATAGTTGTTCTGTATTTTAGTTGTAACTGTGATGTGCTTGTGGGAGGCGGTGAGCACCGGCATTACCAACGCCACCACCTTGGTTCTCCTGAGAGTCCAGCTTCTGAGGATCCGCCGGAGAAAACCACCGGCCAGGGAGGGCGTGTGCCCGACGCCCGCGACTGCACGGCGGGAAGGAGCACGACGCCCATGGGAAGGGACAGAAAGCAGTGTCGTCACCAGGGAGAAGCTCATGCCGGTGAACACGGGGCCACACCCACGCCACGGTCACGGCTCGCAGGCCCGTCGTCTGTGACGTGTGACACAGGCAGAGCCCGTCTATGAGCCGATGGACTGCGTTTCGAGGTGGAAAAACCTGGCAGGACGTGTACCCGCGCCCGGGACCCGAGTGCCGGTGGCAGTGACTGCATTCCTGGACTTCTCAGGGTTTTCTAACTGTTTACAGCGAGAGCCGCTTTCATCACCAGAAATGTGTAATTTATGAAATGACCATCCTGGGGCCACTGCCTCCATGCCCGGCACCGAGCTACGCTCCTCAACTCTTATTAACGGTCTATGAGGCGATAGTTGTGTATGTTTTATAATTTGCCATAAAAATAGTAGCCTCAAGATCCCCCAGCCTCATGCTGCAGCGGGAGGACTGGAGGCTCTGC